ATTTCATAAAAACAACAAATAGTTCCTTAGTACAAGTATTCATGGAACACACTTATCGTAAGAAGTTATTCATTGTCTATCCAAAATGCAAATTTTTCTTCACTTGTTAAATCTAGCACCCTACCTCCAACCCCACATTAAAGGTTCGATTTTAATAATCAAACACGCGGGTAGTTCTAAAGTGGCTGGGGCACTAAATGGAAGGCCTTCTCAAGAGTAACATATACAGAGGCTATAAACAAATAAACAAATGAAAAAATGACTCTCAACTTTCCTCTTAAGTAAGCGAGGCATCAAATTTGAGTTAACAGTAAATAAAATGTGAGTGTTAGTAGACCTCACTCATACAGAACAGAGAATGTGGTGTGCCTTCTCTGTGGCATGACCAGACAGGAGGCCAATGGAGCTCAATGCTCCCTGCTCCGCATCTCACCCTCCGGACATAAAGTTAATTACAAACCCTTTATCTCTTCCTCCAACTCAGGGCTCACATCTGCTCCCAAGTAATCAGCTTAAGGGAAACCAGATCGTAAACTTAAACTTCCTGACCAAGAAGCAGGAGAATAAATGTGGTTCTAGTAAAAACTACACAAGGCATAAAAAAGTAAAAGCAGTGAAAGGGAAAAATTACTCTCTTCGGAAGGCAATCTTGTTTTGATAGTGGCAACACAATCTTGCTTCTTTGGGGCTCACACTATTTTTTCTTAATTTTAGCTTTATTGAGGTAAAACTGACAAAACTGCAAGGTATTGAAAGTATACTTCATGATAATTTGATGAACATTTACATTGTGAAAGGATTTCCCCCATCTAGTTAGTTAGGGGCTCAGACTTTAAATATGCAAGCTCTGTTTTGTTTTTCAGGGAGGGTTAAACCTATAATTCATTAGAGAAAATATATATTTTTATAAATCCCCTATATATGTATAAATAATCCTTTTACATATTTTTCAGTGAAGATAGAAATAGAGTATATCCCAAGATAAGTTTAAATAATAATGGAAGGCATATTCAATTTTTAAATAACTTGTAAAATTAATTACCATACTCTCTAGGCTGATTAATTCAATTCTTGCTGAGAAAGGGCAGCAGGAAATCCTATTCAACTGTAGTCAATACTGCTCTGTCAGAAACAGCAGAATAAGGTAGACTAAAACAAGCTATTTATAGCTGTTGGCTAAGAAAAATTAAATGTATGGGCTAGAAGTTTCCAATGATAAAAATAAATCCAGGTTAATTCATTAACTTATTGGTACACTCAGCAAAAGTTTATTGAACATTCCTTTTATCCAAGATACCTTGCAGTATAAGCCTTAAAAAGTGAGCTGTAGGGACGCCTGGGTGGCTCAGTTGGTTAAGCAGCTGCCTTCGGCTCGGGTCATGATCCCAGCGTCCTGGGATCGAGTCCCACATCGGGCTCCTTGCTCATCAGGGAGCCTGCTTCTCCCTCTGCCTCTGCCTGCCATTCTGTCTGCCTGTGCTTGCTCTCTCTCCCTCTCTCTCTCTGACAAATAGATAAATAAAATCTTAAAAAAAAAAAAAAAAGTGAGCTGTAAAAAGTCATACACTGCCTCCAGGATATTACGATCCAGCCATAAGACATATAAGACAACATATATATAAACAGTTGATGGTCTAAAGAAGTTACGTAATTAAATGCCAAAATGTGTGTCAGGAGTTGCAATTTCAGTTAGAAGCCAGAGAAAGATTAATTCACTGTAGTGTAAAAATGAATTTCTATTTTCTTGGTTTAATACACAAGAAGGGTATCACTGGGGCCGCCTGGTTGGCTCAGTGGGTTAAAGCCTCTGCCTTCCGCTCAGGTCATGATCTCAGGGTCCTGGGATCGAGCCCCACATCAGGTTCTCTGCTCAGCAGGGAGCCAGCTTCCCCCTTCTCTCTCTGCCTGCCTCTCTGCCTACTTGTGATCTCTCTCTCTGTCAAATAAATAAATAAAATCTTTAAAAAAAAAAAAAGGAAGAAGAAGAAGAAGGGTATCACTGGAGGGAAGAGCCAAATGCCCCCACAGAGTCTGCCCAGGCTACAGAGAAGAGGGCTCCCCACTGCCACTGTGGGAAGAACCCAAAGCCTTTCCCTTTCCATGCAGGCTTAAACCATTGTCATGGGGGAATAAAAGAACAGAATAGGACAGACATGGGAGATGTTAGTGTAACTAACATTACTTGCTTGGACATTGCTTCTATTAGGTGACGTGTGAAGGAACAGAGAGAAAGGAACAATAGAGTGATCCTCCTTTCTCAGTCTCTCGTTCCCTTTTCATTCTTTCCACACATATTTTTTAGAGTTTACTACATGCCAACAACCATTCCAGGTGCTATGTACACCACAGTGAACAAGATAAATTCCTGACCTTCATGAAGCCTATTCTACCAGTGGGAGACAATAGTTGTGTGTGTGTGTGTGTGAGAGGGAGAGAGAGAGTATGTGTGTGTGTGAGAGAGAGAGATTGTGTGTGTGTGCCCCCAAAGTTAGGGGGCAAAAAATTATGGGTGTGGTGAGGGATGCTGTTTTAGATAGGATGGTTCATGTAAGCCTCCCTAAAGAAATGACTTTTGACTTGGATGAAATGAGTGAGAAACCCATGCAGACATTTCAAGGAAAAAGCATTCCAAGCAGAGGAAGGAACAAATGCAAAAGTCTTAAGGAGTGGGTGAAGTGGAGGAGGCAAGAGGAGAATGATGGAAGACAAAACCACAGACCACATAAGGGGCCTGTTGGCCATGATGAGGACTTTGTTTTTCTTCTAAGATAAAAAGCTATTGGAGGGCGCCTGGGTGGCTCAGTGGGTTAAGGTCTCTGCCTTCAGCTCGGGTCATGATCCCAGGGTCCTGGGATCGAGCCTCACATCGGGCTCTCTGCTCAGCGGGGAGCCTGCTTCCCCCTCCTCTCTCTGCCTGCCTCTCTGCCTACTTGTGATCTCTGTCTGTCAAATAAATAAAATCTTAAAAAAAAAAAAAGCTATCAGAGAGTTGTGAACAGAGGGGTGAGTGGCATAATGACCTCTGGCTGCTATGTTGACAACACACTGTAGACTAGTGAGGGTAGATGCACGAGGCCCTGCTGGGAGCTTTTGCAGTAATTTCTGCAGTGACAGAAATGACAAGATCTTGGGAGAAGCAGTGGAAATGGTCAGAGATGGTTTTTATCCTATATATATTTTTTCAAAGTAGAACCAAGGAGATTCACTGAAGAATTAGATGTGGGAATGAGAGAAAAGAATCAAGGGTCACTCCATAGTATTTAGTCTGAGCATCTCGAAGAGTAAAATTGTTATGAACTGAGATGGAAAAGACTAAGAGAAGAGCAGATTTGGAAGAGGGAAATCAAGAGTCTGGTTCCTAGAGATTATTGCCTATTTCAAAACCCTTACATCTGTTATAAAACCAAATCAACAGAAATTGGGAAACTGATCTTAAATTTCATATGAAAATTCAAGAGACCCAGAATAGCCAGAACAATTTCAAAGAAAGAAGAGCAAAATGGGAGGACTCACACTTCCCACTCTCAAAACGTACTACATAACCACAATAATAAAGACAGTATGATACTAGCATAAGGATAGACAAATAGATCAATGAAGTAGAATTAAGAGGAAGGAAGGAAGGAAGGAAGGAAAGAAGGAAGGAAGGAAGAAGGGAGGGGAGAGAAGGGAGGAAGAAAGAAGGAGGGAGAGAGAAAGAAAAAAGAAAGAAAGGGGGAAGAAGGGAAGGAAGGAGGAGGGAGGAGGAGGAAGACGGAGGGAGGGAGGAAGAAAGAAAGGGAGAGGGAGGGAGCAAGGGAGAGAGAGAAGAAAGGAAAGAAAGAAGAAAGGCTGAGATAGCTAAATGAGTAGGCTTCAGGCATGAAAATACAATAAGTTCATGATTTAAAAAGAAAGAAAGAAAGAAGAAAGTAGGAATGAAAACTAACATAAAATACAAGAAAAAAATTATCTTTAGTCAAGTGCTTTCAGTACTTTATGAACCTTTCTTAATCTCTAACCATCTATAGAACCCTATTTTACAGATTGTTTTGCCCCTAAAGCAAGTTTTTAAAGAGGCCAAAAGGGGGGGGTAGGAACAATGGACCACCAATAAATTAAAAAAGCAATAATTACAGAAAACTTACAGGACGTTAACACTACTTCCCCTCCCAACATCTGAGTGAAGAACCAGCCAAAAAGCGAGAATCCATGGAGTAGGAAAAAACAGCTGTTACCCCACTGAGGTAAGGAAGAGGACCCTGTGGCAGAACATTCTGTGGCCATGTGGCCTAGGTGGCCAGCAGAAGTCAAAAGCTGGGAAGATAAAATCAAGGGCTCACAAGATATCCTCCTCCTGAGGCCTGACTTGGCGTAATTGGTGATCTACTGAAACAGAGACAAGGATTTGGCAATAGTTCCCAAACCTGCCTCCACATCAGCCCCACCACCCGTGGAGATCCAGGGGCTGGCTGTGCGGTTGGGTTTCCTGCCTGACTGACAGGGTAAGGGAGAACCCTCGCTCACGCAGCCAGTTTGCCGTCAGGACCCTTATCAACAAGGACGTAAAGACGTTAAGTAATTAAACTGAGAACCACAGGTGGGAGGAAAGAACTATGGGCCAGTGCCGGAGGTCTGGGACCTTCCTCCTCTCCCGCCAGGGAAGTTTCCTCCCCCCACCGCCCTCCCCGACGGGGACCCAAGTGCCTAGATGCCCCCCGGAGGGGACCTCAGCCCCGTCCCAAACCTGGAACTGCTAACCGGCACCCCGCCCATGCCGCCCCCCCACCCCCGGCGGTTGTCCCCATGGGTCTGCGCTGAGGGACTCGGGGGTCAGAGCAACTTTTCGGGCGGGCTCACTCGCGCCGAAGCTGGGCGAGGACTCGCCGCCTCCCCTGCTAGCCCCAGGGCCAGCCCTGCCAGTCGCCCGCTAGCGCGCTGGGCTCTCCGGGCTGGAGCGGACCCCACCGGCCGCCGGGGGTCGGCCGCCCTCCCACGTCCCCCGCAGCCGCGGGGCTCACCTGGCTGGAGCTTGCTGTCCCCGCGCCGCTGTGTTGCGCGCGCGCCGCGTCCACCGGTTGCCGGCCCTTTTTGGGTCCTTGGCGGGTATTTTCCGTCTGGCCCCACATCACTTCCCGTAAAGGAGAGCGAGGTAGGGGCGGGACCTCCTCTCTACCCTCCACCTCCCGCTTCCTCCTGTCACCTCAGGGAGCACCCCGCCCGACTCCGCGAGGGCGCCTTGCCGACGCCTCCTCGCTCCCAGCTCCGGGTTCCGCCGCACCTGCCGCGGGTCCTCTTGTGAGCCACGAAAAGGCTCCCGCACGCTTCCTTTGGCCTATTATCAGGTCTCCATGGGCCTTTCCTGGAAAGTGTGAAACCTTAGAGACTTGTTTTCGCGTGAAGACACAGACGTGACATTTCCAAACTTCTCCAGGATCCGTGACCTGCCCGGTGTGGTTTGGGGACTCTGGCCAAATCTCCTCCCCCAAAGGCCATGTTCTAAAGGTATTTTCCAGGGCATCAGATCACTGCCTCCGCTGCAGGAGCCAGGGGTGCTGAGTAGCTGCAAAGCCGGCCCCACCCAGGGCTCCTGGGGCCCAGTACGCTCCTTCCTGAGGCAGGTCCTCCCTAGTCCGGCTCCCTAGGGGCCGGCTCCGCGCCGAACGTCGGGCTCTGCCACTGTCCAGCCGACCTCGCCAGCTCCTTCCTCACTCGGATGCGCCTGGGCCTGGCCTTCCAGCTCCGGGATTCTTGGAAACGACAGGAGGGAAGAAAAGTAAAATCCTGGCAGGAAAAATGTATTTCTGAGAGGAAATAAACGGGGTCTCTGCTCATACAGGGTAGTTCGGTTTAGAGAGTTATTCCAAATTTCTAAAAGATAGCAATTCGTTTAAAAAAGAGAGAGAGAGGGACGCCTGGGTGGCTCAGTGGGTTAAGCCGCTGCCTTCGGCTCAGGTCATGATCCTGAGGTCCTCGGATCGAGTCCCGCATCGGGCTCCTTGCTCAGCGGGGAGCCTGCCTCTCGCTCCGCCTCTCTCTCCACCTCTGCCTGTCTCTCTGCCTGCATGTGTGCTTTCTCTCTCTCTTTCTGACAAATAAATAAAATCTTTAAAAAAAAAAAAAAAAGAGAGAGAGAGAAGGCAAAATGCAGCAAGATTAAAAAAAAAAAAAAAAAAAAAAAAAAACTGCTTTGAGGAGACATCTGCGAGCCTTTGCTGCCCCCCAGCGGCTTCCTTCTCTCAGCGCTGAAGGGTACCTATACGTCCGCTTGGAGCTCCAGCTGTGAAGGGGGTTCAGGCCACCAGGTTACCACTCAGAGCCAGACAAATTTCTCTTCCGGTGGCCTCGAGGTATGGACAATGGCCTTTGGCCTTGCTTCTGTGGACTCCCAGCCAAAGCACGTCTGAACCAAATAATTCTACATCTAAGAAGAGCAAAAAATGATTGAAAACCCTAATCCGGCTTCTCTTACCGTCTACTTCCACCACAAATTCCAGTGGTCCCAGGCCCACGCCCCCAAACCCATCACACTTCGAGTTTGCAGCTACTCACAGTTTATGCTACAATACAATTAGCTTCTCAAATATGTGTCCAATTTACAAAATCACATAGAGCATAAACATATGAAATTGTGAAATACTGAACATGCATCCAATCTAATATTTATAGGGAAATATAACAGAGTAATCTCAGAGTTAGAGATAACAGATTTCAGTAGGGTGATAGTGTCAAGGATGTTCCCCAGCTAAGAAAGGCCATCAGACTGTTGTTGGTGGAGGCTGGCAGGAAAAGTAGCCCCAGGCTCATGTGTAAAGTCCTGGGATTTACTGATCAGCTAATAGTTGGGGGCGAACAATGAAGCAACTGTTAGTGGCTGATATGATACGAGAGACTTCCCCTTCAATCTTCCCCACTCCTGCAGGGGACTGTAACCACGAGCTTACCAAGCAGATCAAAAAACAGACAATGGTAACGTGGCCCATTCATTATCCTTTCATTCACTGAATGAGTCCAAATTAGGATAGTACTAGGGATGGAATAGTGAACAAGGTAAATTGGTCCCTACCCTCAGGAGCTTGACAGACCAGCAAGTAAGCAGTTAATTTCAATGTGGTGACATAAGATCATCAATAAGGGAAGTAAGCGTGTTATTGGAACACAAATAAGTGACACCAAATCAAGACTTCCCAGAGAAAGTGATGTATAAATTAAGAAGGATGAATAAGGCAGAAGATGAGGGAGAAGAGAATTCTAAGAAAAGAGAGCAGAGAAGAGACTTGGAGCCAAAAGACACTATCCTATAATAGTTCAGAAAAGCTGAAAAACTGAGTAGAAGGAAGCAATCAGGGAAGAGACTGGAGGAATGGCAGAGGCTGGATTTTGAAGAACTCTGGAATGATTATAATTTATTGACCACTTACTATGAATCAGCCAATATGCTAAGAAATTTGCATATATCCCCTCATATACCTCTCACAAGTGCCCTCTGAAATAAGTACTATTCCTGTCTTTGTATTACAAATAAGGAAACTGAGCCTGAAAGCAATGAAGCAACCTGACCGAGATCATACAGCTCAAAGTGGCACAGCCAGGATTAGAACTTAGAACTCATTTTCTAAATGCCTATTAAGGTTAAGAATGGGTTTCAGAGACCAGTTAGCATGCTGAAATCCAAGTAAGGAATAACAACAATCTGGTTTAAGACCATGACCATGAGGGCGCCTGGGTGGCTCAGTGGGTTAAAGCCTCTGCCTTCAGCTCAGGTCATGGTCCCAGGGTCCTGGGATCGAGGCCCGCATCGGGCTCTCTGCTCAGCAGGGAGCCTGCTTCCTCCTCTCTCTCTGACTGCCTCTCTGCCTACTTGTGATCTCTCTGTCAAATAAATAAATAAAATCTTAAAAAAAAAAAAAAGACCATGACCATGAGGATGAAGATGAATAAACAGATTTGAGATATTTAGGAGAGTAAATCAAGACATGATTGTAGGTGGTGAGGGAGAGAGAAATCCATGAAAATGCCTGTTTCTGATTTGGGCAACTTGAAACCCTTGAGCAAAAGGAAGAGGGCCCTGTTGCAACAGGGTGAAATAGACCACAAGGAAGAAGTTTAGACATTTTAACTTTGACACATCAGAGCTGGGAGAACATACAAGTGAAACTGTTCAGTATGCAACTGAACAGGCTGATCTGAAGCACAGAACACAAGGACAGAAGCTATTGCCCAAGAGGGTACTCAAAGACATGAAAGTCAATGAGCTAGTCTAGAAAATGTACTAAGAGGGCAAAGAGGGGGCTTGGTACAAAACCCAGAGGATCACTCAGTTAATGAAGTCTGAGAAAAGAGTGCCCAGAGAAGTAGGAAGAAAACAAAGAGAAAAAGTTATGACAGAAACTAAATATATTGAATAGATCTTGTATACCAATTCAAAATCCTCTCTACACCACTTCTTACTCTAGTCACAGAACTGGTCACAGTATAACCTTGCTTCCTACTCTGGGTCTTTTCTGACACTGCAGGCTGTTGCTTGAAACATTCACAGTCCCACTCCAGTATCACTTAACGGGGTGGAAATTGGAAATATCAGTAAAAACTCATGATTTTTAATATGTAAACTAGATAGGAATAGAATTATATATTAATATGCATGTATGTATGTACTTTCCAGAAATGTCTGCTAAGAGATCCTAAAAGCAACTATATCACAGTAGTTATGAATACATTAGCATGTAGATTTTGATTTCTAAATACCCTTCTAGAATAAAAGCAACAGGCACATGATTATATCTAAAATATCTACAAAAAAACTATTAGAGCTAATAAATAAGCAAAGATCAGGATACAGGATCAGTCGTATTTCTACGCATTGGCAGTAAATAAATCTGAAAAGGAAATTAAGGAAAAACCCCTGCTTGAAATAGCATCAAAAAGAATAAAATACTTAGGAATCGATTTAACCAAGGAAGTGCAGGGCTTATACACTAAAAACTACAAAACACTACTGAAAGAAATGAAATGAAAGAAGACTTAATAAAAGATAGTCCATGTTCATCTTTACCTAATATTATAAAGATAGCAATATGTCCCAAAGAAATCTACATATTCAACACAATCCTTATCAAAATTAACTTTATCAAGATTTTGTGCAGGGATGTAAGAGTTGATCCCAAAATTCATGTGAAATTGCAAAGCACCTGAAATAGCCAAAACAATCTTGGAAAAAAAAAACAAAAGAACATGGACTTTCTGATTTCAAAAGTTAACATAAGATGCAGTAATCATAACAGTGTGGTATTGACGTAAGAATAAACATGTATTTGAAAAGAATTGACATGAGAGTCCAGAAATGAACTCATAAATCTGTGGTCAATTGATTTTCAACAAGAATGCCAAGAGTATCAATGAGGCAAGAAAAATCTCTTCAATAAAACTGGTTATTCACATGCAAAAGAATAAAGCTGGACCCTTATTTCATACCATATATAAAAATTAACTGAAAATAGATCAAAGACCTAAATTGCAACCGCTAAAACTGTAAGGCCTGTGGAAGACAACAGGCACAAACCTTCACTACCTTGGATTTGGCAATGGTTTCTTACATATGATACCAAAGGTATAAGAAATGAATAGGTTAATTAGACTTTTTTAAAATTTTAGTATTTTATCAAAGGACACAAGAGAGTGGAAACACAACACACAGAATGGGAGAAAATATTTGCAAATTATGTATCTGATAAGAATATAGTATCAGAACATAATAGAGTTCTTACAATAAAAAAGATAACTCAATTAAAAAGAGGGCAAAGGACTTGAATAGGTTTTTCTCCAAAGAAAATATAAAAATGGTCAATAAGCACACAAAAAGATGTTCAATGTCATCAGTCATTAGGGAAATGCAAATCAAAACCATAATTACTCTTTCACATCTATAAAGCTGGTCATAACTTTTTTCAAAAAGAAAAGAAAAATTACAAGTGTTACGTGAGGATACGGAGAAATCGAAACCCTATATATTACTGTGGAAATGTAAAACGATGTAGTCACTTTGGAAAGCAGTTTGGAGGTTCTTCAAAATGTTAAACAGAATGACCATATGATCCAGCAA